CTGGGAAAGCAGCCATCGTGTTCCGTCCCGTATAATACCTCTTGTTTTATACCACTTTAGATTTGATGAATTCAGCAATAAATAATAAATGTCAGCAGTGCAGTTGCAATACCAAAAACGTCATATACATGTTAAAATGCCCATGTGGACTTGCATACATTGGGAAAACCACGAGAGAGTTAAAAACCAAGATTGCTTAACATCGATCAAACATTCGCAACAACAATCCAAAGAGTCCGGTGGCGTTGCATTTCACACAATTTCAGCATAATGTGAGTTCAATGAGATACCTGGGCATTGAACAAGTAAATACACCAAGAAGAGGTGGAGATATAGACACTGCTCTACTGAGAAGGGAAGCATTCTGGATTTATACCCTTGAGACTCTGAATCCGAAAGGAATGAATGAGGATTTTGATTTAAGACCCTTTCTTTGATCACATCTCGCAGCCATTAGCACTCCAGAGACTACAATACCAGCTGTGCTGCTGTTGATGTCCTGCTCTTGCTCTGTATCTTTGACTTTTTTGAGACTGTTGTTCAAGACTACTTGTTCCATCCATGTAGCTTTCACTACACACCACTTAAGTAAAACACCCAGACGCACATATTAAGAGCATCATGATGGGTTGACCTTTTTATATATACTGTTGATGTGTATTTGTATGTACATATGTTTTTGCGAGTTTGTTTGTATATACATATATGTACATGTTTGTTTAATAAGCACCAGTCACGTGACGGCCTTTGGTCACGTGACTGGATCTTTAAAAATGCTACCAGGTGTGTCTGGTTTTTCAAGTCTGACGAAGGGCCTCAGCCCGAAACGTTACTATTTTGTGTGGTATGTAAATAAATTACACTGTTTTTGGGAGCTACATAGCTGTGCGGATTATTTTTCACTGTTTTCTAAGCAGTGCAGTTCAGCCAGCCCCAATGGACGTCAATAATGCATGGGATTAATTGTACTATTATAACTGCTGTAATAACTCATCAGGAGGACAGGATCGTTTATCCAAGAGACGCTTTTTACTGTCTCTGCCAAGTGCCAAGACTTTTCAAGCGGGAAATACTTAATCAAACTGCCCAAAAAAGTCTGTATTAGGAGTGGACTGTGGTGCTGATGTCTCCCACAGTGTTTGTCAGATGCGGAAGAAGCCGATTTGGACATAAGCTAGCTGGAGCCAGTTTCCTTATATGGTTATATTGTTTCGACGCAGAGAGTGCCAGAACACTGATAATTTTAAGCCCAAAATGGTGAGTGTGACACAAACGGTTAATGAGCGAGACGAGTTCACTTTTCAAAGAATGTCAAATGGAGCCAGAGTGAGTTGGAGCAACACTTTGTCCACTTTGTCCATTCCGTGAAGGGGATAGCATTTTCCATCTGTATAAAAGATGATGATGTTGCAGTTTGGCTCCCCCGTGTGGTTTTGTTTTATGTTTCAGGCCTGGCTCCTGTTGGTATGGTCTTTGAGCAGGCACAGCTGTCTTCAGATTCCTCATCACAGCAATACAAAGTCTCCACGCTGATCTCCATTCATTGTCAGATTGTCAGGCACTGTGGTGACTAGACTGTTTCACCTTGCCTAAGAGGGTTTTACTTTGTGACTTATTTTCTGATTTTGGACTTTTATGCTTCTAGTTCCATTGCCTGCTCGGAGTCCCCCACTGGACCAAGCCTTGTCCTGTTTCTCTTCATTCAAGCCTGCTGCACTTTTTGTTAATAAATGTTTTGACTGCCCTTTTTGGTGTCTACTTTGTGGTCCTCATATCTACCGTAACATATGATCCAGGCAGTGACTTGGATGATCATGGCCCCTTTAGGTATTAGATGCACTAAAGCACAAGGAACAATCCCTTTTGCATAGCTCAGTAATAGCTCAGAGTACAGACCGAGAGGCATAGTTCCAATCCAAAGATTCTGCATCCAGACAATGTTCAGATCACCTACATAATATACTTGTTCAATTGTGTGGGCCATTGCAAATGTCTACTGAGAATGTTGTCCAAATCCGGATATCACCTTTTGATTTATGGTGCTCACAGACAAACAAACGCCAGTTAATAATCTCCTTTGCTGAGATAATTAACTAATGTGAATATTTGAAAAGCATTATTGATCATGGCGTGTCAGTGTGCTCATTATTCACTTAGCGGACTGTGCATTCACTCAGCGTTTACTTTACTTGAACCGATTAGAGCAGAGGTCTTCAAACCAGTCCAAAAAGGGCTCCTGTGGCTGCATCAGACCAAGCAGGAGCAGAGCAGACTCCACCCATTTCCCCAAGTGAAATAAGTGTTCAGCCTTAACCTAAATAATACAAAATGGATGGAGTCTGCTCTGCTCCTTTTTGGTCTGATAGAAAACCTGCAGCCACAGCTGCCCTTGAGGACAGGTTTTCTTTAGACACCCCTGGATTAGGGGCAAAGATACCAAAGATACCAAACATACACACTGTTCTTGTATAGTATTCATTTAAATCATGTTGGAGGTTTCACATCTCCACAAATGAAGTCGTTTGCCATTTAATTGGTTCACTTAAGGTGAAGTGTGGATCACTTGGGAGTAAAGAAGCGTCATTCAACTTTTTATGTGAAATGTGAAATTTTCCATTTTTAATTGCATATTTGACCTATTGCATTCACATATAAATAGAACTGGCCTTTGTGGGAGACTGAAGATGTGAGGTCTGACTGTAACAGCAGCAATGGGTTTTACTATTAACATATAATTAGTGACTCTGCAAAACGTGAATCTTTAGCACCAAATGTATGATCAACAAATTATTACATAAACGCACACACAACACACAACATGATAACACACCTGGCTATAACAATACAGTGAGAAATGCTATCCATCCAGCAAACAGCCTTACTTGTGACCTCTGACCTCTGTTACTTCTGTTACCTCTGCCCAGACGAGCTGAATCCCAAATCACATGAAGTGTCTGCTGAGTCCAGAGAAACCAACACACATGAGCAGCTCGACACCACACAGATCAGAGCCCATGTGAAACCGTGTTTGGTGTCTTAACTTTTGATCAAGGTGGTGTCTACATTAACCTTGCCTGCAAGCTGAATTCTCGCGGTATTTGTGAGTTCACAAACACTCGAGAATACATCTTGTCCCGCTCCCGTCAACCCTTTTCGAGTAGAACATCTAGGTGTTCAAGCCAATCACGCGCCAGTCTGGGGGTTTAGGGCGGGATATCCGGGTATTACGAAAGCAAGAAGCAAAACAAACATGGCTACGCGGGAGGACGGACGTGTAGCTGAGGCTATCAAGTCAGTTTTAGCAGAATCTCCCATTTCTTTTTTGAAAGATGAACAGCGAGAGGCGCATAAAGCAGTCATAAGCCAAATAAAACTAGTTTAGTCCAGCGCAACTTATGGTGGTTTCTCAGGGCGCACGCCGATGACGACATAATGTTACCGGGATTGGTTTAAGTCAAACCTTGGTAGGCGGGCACACAGCGTCACTTCGCCCAATCAGCTTGAAGTATTCTGCTGCGTATCCCTCCTTTCCCCAAAAGGATTCTCCTGCAGAAGTCCCAGATTGATATTGTGGAGAGTTCTACACAATCATCAATCTGGCTCAGGTTATGTCTACACTGCTCCAGGATCAATTATTTTGTACGTTTTCTGGTGTAAGGGTCCCACAGCAGAGAAAACCTTGAAATCCAATTGATCCATGCTCATACAGCCACTGGGCCCACATAAAAAGTGGCATATCTTCTGTTTGCATTTCATTAACATTTTCCTGGTACAGGGGTCGGCAACCTGCGGCTCTTTAGTGCTCCTCAAGTGGCTCCTTGAGCCTTTTCAAAAATGCCTGAAAATGGAGTGGGAGGTCTATATTTTATTTCTAGTAATGTGGTTTTTGTAGGAGGAAAAACGTTCTTAACGTTTTTAAATGCTGTAAAAATGTGCGTAAGTAATATTAAATTTCAACATTTCTGTCAACATAGTGCGTCATATCCTGTGACCCAGCCCCGCGCCAGGAGGCCGCTGTTGTAAACAAACTGGCGTGTGCGCATGGATCCCAAAGCTAAAAAGAGAAAGAGTCGATAAAAAGACCAAGTACAAGAACAAGAATGAACATTTGCTTTCAGTCAATGAGGAAGGACTGCCTCATGTCTGCGTCGTAATGAGAAGTTTTGTTTCAACACGAGGAACAATGAAGCGCTAAACACCGTTCACAGTGATTACATAAAGGATTCATTCATCACAAATTCAGAGCACCTATTTTCAGATTTAAAAACCTCTGCAAAGACCGTGAAAGAAAGGGCCATTAAGGACAAAAATTCAGCTCCAGCAAACTTCAGCCTGTGATGTGATCGATATGAGCAGAATGTGCTGTGATGCAGGTATGTGAACTCTGAGCCAAAAAGCAGATTTATTTCCTGTATTTAAGTTAAAGTTAAAGCAGAGTTGTCACGTGGTGCGTCATTCTCACCAGGACACGCTGCAGTGAAAACACACATTTGATAATCATGAATGCTTATTATGTATTTGTAGCCTTTACTTTGTCATTTAGATATTAGGCTAATACAGCTAATGCATCTTCATATACTGTAAGCCTTATACAAGGCTGTTGTTTTTTTGCGGCTCCAGACAGATGATGTTTTTAGTTTTTTTGTCAAATATGGCTCTTTGAACCTTTTGAGTTGCCGACACCTGTCCTGGTAGCATAATCAGTTTGTCCTTTGTTGCGTGTAAAGAAGTTGCTTTCTAATTGTTTGTATAGTCTCATTCTTACAAACCTGATTCGCTCATTCCAGTGCAACAAACAATCAAACCGTTAATGAGAAACCGTCTTAATTGCCTTTTCTTGATCTACAAACCGACACAGCTGTAATCTCCTCTTTATTTGGAGGTATTCTGCTCATGTTCCCACCTCTGCTTTTTGCAAATATGTCATAGAGGCAGTGCAGGGATGGGGATCAGTCACCAGAATCCTAATATCGACTAAACCTCTTTCTCTCCTCTCCAAGTCATGCATTTGTAGGGAAGGCGTCGCACAACAGGCGGATGAAGGAGCTGTGGTAACAAACCCAATTATTATAGTCTAGAAGAGGTTCAGGGCAACACAATTATAAACAAGTGTAACAAAGAATGCAGAAATCCATAGATGCATTTCTAAGACTGGGTCACAATTTCCTTCACAGCACTCTCTGATTCAGCCATGTCAGCAAACAGCAGCTCTAGCAATCACAGGGCCATTGACAGAAGAAAATGAGAACTCCAATTTTGACAGGCGCAATGTCCAAATGCATCACAGCAGACATGTGTTCCACCAGGGAATGGACTGCTTTAATTTAGTATAGTATGAATGTATGAATGAGGAGCGCTGGCTGTTTGAGCAAAGGGACAGCGGACCAATGAGGATCTAACATGGAACACATATGAACTTTGAATGAAATTTAGGGTAATTGTTTGTGCTGTAGTGAGAGATGGATGGACCAGGGCAGCAGCAGCTCAGTACGCACACACACATCATGGTTAAATACACATTGCCTTATAAGGAATGCCAAACGGTGAAGGCATAAACTTTACATACGCACTGCACTTTTCTGAACTAACGCACATGCCTTGAACACTGATGTTACATTCACTTGTGCACATGACTCACTTCTGTGGCTGGAGTAGCCCGGGTTGTAGCCGTAGTAGCCCGTGATCCTCAGAATCCTGTCCTCGATGTCGTGGATGCCGTTGCTGGTCACTTTAGAGTCGCCGTCCCCGTACACAGCGCGCTTACCGGGGGACGGGCACGGGGAGGTCTTTCCCGGTAAATGAGTGTTCTTGGCGGGCTCCAGGCGCACAGGGGACGGCTCTGCGCTGGCCACTACACCTTCGGAGGTTGTCATTGTGAGGGGAAGGACACAGAGCCCACGGGCTGCATCCATAAGCAGCAACAAGCGCGGAGTCAGAGGCGCGCTCACATTCCCCCGGTGCGCAGCTTGAGAAACGCTCCACGCGCCTGGCACGCGGCGCACACAAGGGGGCGTGGTACAAACCACAGACACGTGGACGTCAGAGTGACGGCTGACAATCAACCAGCAGCACCCATCAATCCATCAAATTTATTCATAAAGCACAATTCATGCAGTGCAACCCAAACTGCTTTACAAAAACATAAAATACTACACACAAAAAATAAAAAATAAAAATAACACTGAATATCGGAATCTATTTTAAAACTTAATATATAAAACTCAATCATATGCACAGCTATAAATAACTTAAACGATTCTAGAGGCCTCCCTACATCATTAGGAAGACTGTTCCAGATTTCCCACAATTTCACTTTCATTATACGAGTATTTAAATCTGAAAAGACTAATATTTAATCAGACTATATGTACTGTCAAGATTGCATGAACATACACCAGCAGACTTATTGATTGGGCACTAAAATATTTATTGTATGAAATGTTCATTAAGCTTGGCGATTAGACCCTGGTAGGAGCACTGCGTGACCTATGCAGGATGGAGTTTTATAGAAATCATGAGCTTGTGAACCCGGGGCCTAGACCTTTGTGGCAAAGAAAGCTGAGCCAACAACATGACCTGATTCTCCACTGAAGAGGCAGTGATGGGGAGGAGGCGGGTTGCTGCTCAAACAGCAGCTTGAAGCTGCTGTGATTGAATGCAGCCATGAAGTGATGAGCTCAGGTGTGTGACTGTGCAGCTGAGGTCTTAATTTACGCTAAGCTTCATTTTTAAACATTTTAAACTCACACTGGATAAGTGGTTCCAGGCAGGATTCCGATTGTAGCTGAACAGGTGTTCAAGCCTGAGTCTAAACTAGACAATTTCTGACATGTAGGCCAAACGTATGGAAGATCTTTACATATGACATACTGTAGCTGCAAGTTTATGTGCCATATCATCTCAGAGCGAAAATGTATACAGTATGAGTGGAGTGATTAACGTGGAGTGATTCTAATAATATTAGTTATCTTCAGTTATCTTCTCCTATGTGCAATATCACTGTAAAAGTGTCTCTATGGTGCCAGCATACGTCAGTGAGCACAGGCCACTGACATCTTGGGTGCCGGGGTGACAATGGGCCAAGTGGTGGAGTGGAAGGAAGAGAGGAGCAAGTGTCTTCAGGTTGTTTATTATTAAGTCAAGAGTACAGAACAGAACCCTGAAATGAGTGGGAACCTCATTTAGTCCCTTACACAAGCACTGGTGATGAACAAATCACTCTTGGGCCGTGAGGAGTACCAGGCTTTATTGCAGCGATTTGAAATTTCTTGGTTTCTCTGGACTCTGCAGACACTTCGTGTGATTTGGATTCAGCTCGTCTCTGCAGAGGTAAGTATAAGGCTGTTTGCTGGATGGATTTTTCATACACAGGCATGTTCTCATCACGTATTTTGTTGCTTGAAAGGTTATATGTTGTTGATTATTAGTTGTAATAGATCAAGCGTAATTATTGTGTATTCCTGAGGGACATTGTGATTAATTAGGTCTATGTCTCACTGACAGTAAGAGGGCATGGACCAGTGGACTCACTCCTTCACTGCAACAGATAGTAAGTAAGTAAGTAATCAGATCAGTGGGTGGATTCAAAACAACGTTCTCCAGCTGACGTCAAACAAGAAATGATTGTTTTGGTCGCCAGAAACAAAGCATTATCTGTCACCTCCAGTGTCTCTTTCCCTAAAACCTTCAAATCAGGTCAGAAATCTTGGCGTATTAAAGGACTCAGACTATAATTTGTATCTAAAGCAAAGTTGGAGATCCCTATTCATGGATTTGTTCAAAGTAGGTTAGACTATAATGGCCTGCTCACAGAGAAAACAGCTACAATATATTCAAAATGTTGTGCAGCATGAGTCTTGCCTATAGAACCAGGAAGTACAATCACATCAGTCCAGTTCTCAGGTCTCTGCACTGGCTTCTTGTGGCTCAGAGAATAGACTTTAAAGCAACTCTGTTTGTGTACAAGTCTCTCAATAGCCTCACACAAAAATATATCCGAGACGTAAGTTCAAGAAAGATGAGTGCTTCTGTGGGTCAATTTTTTGTCAGGTGCTCATCAGGATCAGCGGTGAAAAACACTTAGAACTTTTGAGGAAAAATAATGAATCTTTTATTGAACAGGGACTAATGGTGCTTTCAGACCGGATCATGCGTTGCGTCGGGTTTCAATGCAAAGTTTATGGTGACGCGCGTTCGGCCGTCGCAACGCACGGACCGCTCGGTTCGCACAAACGGACTGTTCAGTAGAGACGCACGGACTTGGCGGGAAAGTGAAAAGGGAGGAGCAGGAGCGAAAAATCGACGCCCACAGGAGATGGATTCTGCTCATCGTCACGGGGACATTAGCGGACTGAGCGAGCAGATTGAAAATACTCGTAAACAGCCAAAACAGGACCAACACCAGACTTCACCAGAACTCAAACCAGGGTTGACAATGGGGGACTCTGTGCTTGTGAAAATATGCGTTGTCATGCTCCCGTGACCTTATGCAACTGCTTTGAGTGTGTTCGCCGATGCGGAAATTCTGTTTAATAATATGAAAAAATGTATGGCGCACCTCCGTGAACACATACTACTGTTATATAAAGCCCGTGGAAAGTCTGTTCAAAGACATTCGGCAAAGCTGAATATTGGAGAAGATCTGTACACAAGAAGCCGCTAGCATAGCTCTGTTGGCATCAGAGCCGGCCGGCTACTACCGGCACTTCCGGCTGCGTCTGAAAACTAGAGAATGCGCGTCTGGTGAGCGGGGCTTCAGCGTTTCAGCGTTGGCGGTGTGAAAGCCCCATTAGGCTTCGCGTTTCAGCCATGTAGGGCCTTCTTCAGGGCACGTAATGACGTTTGATTTGTAAATTACTTAATTGTTGTATAGGAATAAATTTCCCTGGTCTTGTCTATATTTCAGAGATGTAATCGTAGAGATTTGGAGATGAGGCGTAGGCGAAGTATGTAGCCTTTGCACATCACTACGTTACTTCAAATAGATCAATCAACGCCACTTGCAGAGTAACATTCTTAGACATGCATGTTCCGTCCCCGCTCATTCACTACAATAGGAAATCACACTATTTGGATGACCCTTTACTTTATGGTCATATTTGGTGTTCACATTAATATTGCTTTCCTTCTTAATATTCCAGGCCATTCCAATCCTCATCTCCTCAATGCGTACTGTGCTATATCAAAACATATACCACTTCCAAACCAGCATTTACCCCAGAACGGTAACCTCTGCACTGCTTTGACTCTTGGACAGACTTTCTGTAAGTTCATCTCGCTTTGGCAAAACCACAAATATCCTTATTAATAAAGCCTGTGACCATAGCATAGCACCTCACATACGAGGCCATCCACAGCTCAGATGGGAACTGTGGTGTTTTATCACAGCACTTTCACACTAAAAATAACCGATTATTGAAAAAAGAACACTTTATTTCCCTCTGCACGCTTTACATGTATTATAAAGACGTTTTTTGCTATAGCTCTGGGGCACAATCTCCTCTCTGCAGCTGGTGACATGTTTGGGGCTGGCTCAGGGAAACTGCACTTGACTGGCTCGTCCGCATGTGGCAGCAACAAAAACTCATCCTCCAATCCAATAAAAGTAGATGCAGTGTTTCCGCTTGTCTCCGATCCTCCGCTCTCGGTGTGAAATTGATTCCTGGCGTGTGGAGAATTCTCGGCCCTGTTGGCATTGTGCAGCCCGGGTTTTACACTGCCCTTGGACGCCAGCGAGGCTCCCCACCCTCCCCGCGCACACGCACTAAACCAATCTCCACCTCGCCTCCCTTTTGTTTCGCTCCAAAGCACTTATCTCATACATTCAGTTCAGGGACGGCTTTGCGGCTACAACAATGAAATGACGATGCCCAGAAAGTTTTTTCACGCCTTGCGCTAATTTATTCTTGGACACTTACGCACGGTCCAAAAACAGGCCCAAAAAGTAAACTTCTGTCGCCTACTTTGCTCTGGTTATGTGGTTCAAGTGCAGAACAAAGTAATAGCCTTGACTTTAGCTTGGAGAGGGCTTTCATCAGGCCTATCCTATACCCAAGAAGCAGACCAGGCGGTTTCCTATAGGGCTCCACGTCAACAGTTTCTATGGATTAAAAAAAAATTGCTTCATCACACTATAGCCTGATAATAAAGGAGCTGGGGATTGTAGTTTAGACAATTCAGCCGTTTGCAATATTGCTAAATGTGAATCATCAATAATTGACTTGCTCGTAAAGTGGTAAGGGTCTCTCAGTTTAGCTTGGGGCCCCCGAAGGCTTGGTCCGGCACTGGCTTTCATTAATCTATCCGGCAGACCGAGATACGAGTCTATAGCCAAGGGAGTAAGGGAACGTTCTCAGTATATATTTCAAGAATAAAAAGGCTTGTAATGAAAGGAAATGTTTGAATGGATAAGATTTATCAACTGAAATGTTATGTTGTGGGGGTTGTATGATTTCCAGCCAAATGGGAGCAACCGGAAAGCTATTCTTGTGGTGCAAACCATGTTTAGTGTTCTGTTTTGTCCATTCATACCGTCCAAAATGTATCTTATTTTGAAACTCAATGTACAATAGAAACATAGATGAGTGAAGAAAACCAAATAACACTAAAAGTTTATATTGTGGTTGATTGGACCATCTCCAGTCCCACACCCTAAAGGCAGGAGGTAGGAAGTAGGTGTGTGGGAATAACCAGGCCCCCCTTGTCCCGGTTTATGGCAGGCTCTCATAAATTGCTCACTTCCTTAAAGCGGCCGCGGGGGTAATCTAACATTCCCAGACAACAAGAGTCCTGTAAAATTAAAAGTTTGAAAACAAATCAGACAACATGCTGTCTTCACAATTGTTTTACCAATAACATTATAGGTGTTAACAAGTTATTATTAAGTAGTGAGAAAGAACCCCTTGAGTCACGTTTTGAGCTGATTGAGCTAATGTGACAGAGGCCAAAAATACATGCATATGAAAACTAGACATCGCCAGTATCTGTAGTTTGAAAGTTAGGTCCCCCAGCTTTAAACTGTATTAGTGATGATGTTGGTGTCACGGGGGTGAAGGGCCCGTACAACCCTATTACTGTCCAATGGGGAGCACTCTATTAATTGACATTCAACACAATCGAAAGGAATAACAATTTTATTTAGGCACAATTAAAATTAATTATTAATTCTATTATATAAAAGACTGGGTCCCAATTTAAAAATGCTATTTAAAAGAGTCGTGAACGTCGTGGTGCGCCCCTCAAAAGCCGGTGCGCGCGCTGCTCCTGGTCTGCTCGGGTGCGCCGCTCCCGTCCGCCAGTGCGCACGGGTCTCAGGGCACGAAACGATCCACAGCAGCGGGGCTGCCTGTGTAGAGAGGGAGGGCCTTCAACACACTAGGCCAGTGACAGGGGGGGAGGCTTGGGCTGGTAGGGGCTACAGGCCCGGCTCACACAAAAAGAACACAGCACTCCAAAGAACTAAAATAGCCACAGCCTTATTCCCACAACCACCGCCAACGAACAGGAAAGCCACTTAGCTGCGAGGAGGGGGGGTCGCCGTACTCTCCCCCTCCAGTTCCCCACGACGCCTCCTGTCACCGGTGTCTCCTCCTCTGGTCCACTCCGCCAGGCTCCGTGCGCGATGTCTCGTGCGCGCTGGTTGCTCTGTCCCGATCGCTGCTCGCTCTGCCCCGTCTGCTCACTCCTGCTCCGGACACCTCTCTCATATCACACTCACACCTGTGCTTTCTACCTAATTACACACACGCCCATCACACACGCACACACGCACGCCCATCACACACACGCCCATCACGCTCCCTTTGTCCACCTTGTGACATCCTCCCCCACTAATATGTTCTAGTCCCTGGAACATCACTCATGCGGACACAGGGAACAAGAGGTCTAGTCCCTAAATCTTGGAGGCCGCACCCCCATGTTGGGCCTCTGGGACCTCCTTGGTTCTGGTGGGGGCTCTGGGTCTTCTTGCACACCCCCCACCAGGGGCACCATAAATCCCCAGTGTGGCAATGAGGCGCCACGATTATAGTCACCTCCATGTTCCGCCTCTGGTTGTATGTAGTTAGGGCATGGTCTCAAGTTGTTGCGATGGATGACTCTTTCAGGGCCATCTCTTCCTTCAGGACGCACACTATAATTTGGGCGTTCGGGGTGGAGCCTGGTTACAACAACATGGGGTCTGGTCTGCCAGTGGTCACCCAGCTTCCCCCTCTGTCGCCTCCTGTGGTCACGCACTAGCACGCGCTCTCCCGGTAAAAGCGGGGCCTCCTTTGCAGTGCAATCATACAGTCTTTTATTTTTTTGACCTGCATTCTGAAGGCTCCTTGATGTCTTCTCGTAAGCATATGTCAGTTGCTGTTGGTGCCTAGTAACCCAGTCTGTAGCGTCCATAGGGGCGTTGGTGCTAAAACCCCCGGTCAATAGGTCAACTGGGGTCCTCATGTGGCGGCCAAACATCAAGAATGCTGGTGCGTATCCTGTAGAAGCATGAACAGTGTTGTTATATGCTTGAATTAGTCCAGGTAAGTACTCCACCCATCGCTGGTGTTTCTCTACTTCAAGCGTGCCCAACAGGTTCAATAGAGTCTGGTTTAGCCTTTCACAGGCTCCGTTCCCCATTGGGTGATAGGGTGTTGTTCTACTCTTAATGCACCCGTAGATCTGACAGAGTTCTTGGATTAACCGAGACTCAAAATTTGGCCCTTGGTCCGAGTGTAACACCTCAGGGCAGCCAAATGGCTGGATCAAATAAGTCCACAAGGCCCGGGCTGTAGTCAAGGCAGTTTGATCCAGGGTTGGGACCGCCCATGCAAACTTTGTGAACAAATCGGTCATGACTAATATATTTTGGTACCTATCTGTAGGGCGACTTAAGGTCAAGAAATCAACAGCAACAATGTGCATGGGGGCTCTCGCTACAAGTGGCACTAAAGGGGCCTTACCTTGGGGTCCGGGTTTGTGCAGCATGCATCGTGGGCAAGCAGATAGCCAGGTTTTGACCATGTCCTCCATTTGTGGCCAATAAAACTTCCTTCTTAACAGAGTCAATGACTTCTCAAATCCTGGATGCCCCATCTGTTCGTGATATACAGTCCATAGGGGCCTCGCCTGCGATGTGGGGACAACAATCTGGGCAAGAGTCTCTAGAGTCTGGGGGTCTTGGACAATCCGACATAGAATCCCGTCTCTTAACTCTAGCCTCCTCCAGTGCCTCAACAAGATCTTGGCAGATTGGGTTAACAATTGTCTCTCGTTAGCGCACAGTAGGGTACCTCTTTCAACGTGCTCCTTTATGCTTTGTAAGTCGGGGTCTTCATTTTGTAGACTTCTCCAGCGCTCTGGGTCCCACCTCCAGCTATTGGGCGGAGAGTCCATAGACATAGTCTCTACTGCCCCAACCAGTCTCTCCTCTCCGGCCAATTCCCGGTCTGGGGGAGCAGGCAGTCTAGAAAGGACGTCAGCATTAGTGTTCTCCCTGCCTGGCCGGTATCTGATGGCGTAATCGAAATTTGCCAACTGTGCAGCCCACCTTTGCTCGACAGCCCCTAGTTTAGCAGTCTGCAGGTGCACTAATGGATTGTTGTCTGTCACTACAGCAAACTTAGCCCCCCACAAATAGTCCTTGAACTTCTCAACTATAGCCCATTTCATCGCCAAAAGCTCAAGTTTAAAAGAGCTATAGTTTGAGTCGTTGCGCTCAGCGGGATGTAAACTCCTACTCGCATATGCTATAACCCTTTCGACCCCATCTTGTACCTGGGCCAATACAGCTCCAAGCCCCGCATTACTAGCATCTGTGTATAACACAAATGGGAGTGTGTAATCCGCATACGCTAAAATGGGGGCCTGTAGCAATTCCTGCTTTAACTGCTGGAAGGCAGCGTCGCATTGGTCGGACCACTCAATAGAGGGGGAACGTCTGCCTCTATTACGGCCCGTGCCAACTAAAAGTGCATTTAGGGGTTTGGCAATTTTGGAAAAGTCCCTTACAAACCGCCTATAGTACCCCGCAAATCCTAGAAATGAGCGCACTTGCCGTATCGTGGTAGGGGGTTGCCAATTCGATACGGCTGCTACCTTGTCTGGATCTGCCGAAACTCCCTGGCTACTGACGACATGTCCTAGAAACTTGACCTGCCTCTGGAAAAGCTGGCACTTCTCTGGGCGGAGCTTAAGGCCATACTGCCCCAGGGAGCGGAATACTGCCTCCAGGTGTTGGAGATGCTCTGGGAAGTCTCTGGAAAATAGAATCACATCATCCAGATAAACCATAGCAGACTCCGCTAGCCGATCTCCCAAACACCTTTGCATCAATCTTTGAAAGGTTGCAGGGGCATTGCACAACCCAAATGGCATCCTCTCAAACTCGAACAAACCAAATGGGGTTGTGAATGCGGTTTTTTCCCTGTCTTCCTCCTCTACCTCCACCTGCCAATAACCGCTGGCTAAATCCAACGTGGAATACCACTCTGCTTTAGTCAGGCTAGTTAGTGAATCTTCTATTCTGGGCAGGGGGTAGGCATCTTTATGCGTGACACTGTTAATTTTGCGGTAATCAACGCAAAAACGCCAAGAACCATTTTTCTTCTGAACCAGAACAATTGGGGCCGCCCACGGGCTACAACTCTCTCTGATTATTCCCCCGTCTAGCATTTCTTTAAGGAGGCTACGGATTTCCTTATAAAGGGTAGGGGGTACTGGCCTGTACCGCTCACGAATGGGGTTAGAGTCACCTGTGGGAATCCGGTGTTTCACAGCCCCCGTTCGTCCATAGTCTTCCTCGTGTATCGAGAACACATGACTCCATCTTCGCAGTAGTTCATTCAATTGTCTTTGCTCATCATCTGTGAGTCCATCTCCTTTAGAGAGGGGAAGGGCATTAGTTGTCTCATTCACCTCTGGTTTGTCCGGATCAGCAGTGTCGACCAGATTAACCTCCACGACTCCAGGACCCACATTCAGAATGGAGAGCTCCTTCCCATCCCGCACCGCGTCAGGGTCGACGGCCGAGACAGTCGCCAGCCTCTGGAACCTGCTGAGCGTTAGAGCATACGGATGGACATTCCTAACCCTCACTGGAATGCGCGCCTTTCTCACAGTCACTAATGCTCTGGCCACCCCAACTCCTCCATCTTCCCCAAGGGGTTCTACCAGCGCACAGCCTGGCTGGTTTGAAGAGGGCCGTGGGATTTTGGCCCAAACAGTCATTTCACTTTGTGCGGGTATGGTTACAGGAGTACGACTGGCTAATCTCGCTGTAGCTTGCCATGGCTCTGCATTAGCGGCAGCACGGATGCGTTGACAGTCGATAAAAACAGTGTTCCATTCCCTGCTCAGTGGTGGCGTCGAGTGTTTGGGGGAGGCCTTGTACTGCGTGAAAAGTTCTTCCCAACAGTCAGTAATCACGTTCATCCCTAGGATGGCTTTGTCTGCTCCAATACACTCGTCCTTAGCCACTACAATGCCACGTGCAGGTACCCGGACCCCATGGATTTCAAAGTCGGCCACCATGTACCCTACCCACGGGAGGTTAAGTCCGTTCGCTGCCCTCAGAGTGAGCCAGGGAATTTCATCACTATTACGAACTTGTTTGCTCCTAAAGAGCTCGTTGCATACTCTCACTGAACAATGTTACTTGAGACCCTGTATCAAGCAGACACTTCACGTTTATCCCATCTACTCTCACATCCACTAGAGGGCAGTCTCCTGTGAGTTTAACTCTTGAACCATTATAAGCTGGGTCACTTGGAAGAGGTCCGGACACTTGACCCGCAGTGGCCGGGGAGCCTATAAATCCTGCCCAGCTGGTTTGGAGGGGCACCTACGACTGATATGACCAACTTGTTCACATAAGTTGCAAATGGGACGGCCCTGGGGGTCCCACCTGAATCTGCCATGGCCATATGGGGACCTTGGTCTTGGGCTTCGGTCCCTGTATCGGGGGGACCCAGAAGTTGGAGAATTAGGTTGAGGTCCTGCTGCCCCCTTTAACTGGTCTAAAATAGTCCTCGTCATTTCAGACATATGCTCCTTTACATCCTTCAGGATCTCAGCACGCAGCTCTTGTTTCCAATCAGTACCGTGTGAGCTCACGGGTGTGGTTTTACTCACTGCTGTACACTCGAAAGCAGGCCATTGCTGTCCTTGTTCATCCTCCAATGCTAAAGCTTCCATCTTTACCTCATCGAAGGTGAGCTGGGGGGCTTTTCGTACCTGCCGACGAAGCTCTTGCCGTACTGGTCCTTCTTTAAGGCCCAGGATGAACTGGTCTCGCAACACCAGGTCTCCTTGCCCCAAGCCCATGGTGTCTTTTTGTTTAAGCCTGGAAAACAGTTCACGCAAGTGTAGAGAAAAAGACCTCAAAGTCTGATTAGACTCCTGTCTGCAATTAAAGAATTGTGTTCTTAAAGCGGAGACATGGGTGTTGTCCCCGTACAGTTCAGACAGTGCATCAAATATTTTCTTTGGGGTGTTTCGATCTCCACGATCCAAAGCCAAAATTTCACGTTTTGCTTCTCCGTCTAAAAACCCTATTACAAAGTCTGCTTTGTGTGCGTCCCTTACTTGTTGAAACGTGAGCATAGTCTCTAATTGGGATCGCCATTCTCCCAACCTAATCTCAGATCCAACCCCGTTAAATTTAGACACCCAAGGTCCTCCCATTAAAAATGGCATCATCATCATTGGCTGCGCACCTGCGTGCAATTCCTCGGTTGACATGCCTAATTAATAGAGGCTCAACCCAATTGGACAATCCTGTCAGCAACGCCACTTGTCACGGGGGTGAAGGGCCCGTACAACCCTATTACTGTCCAATGGGGAGCACTCCATTAATTGACATTCAACACAATCGAAAGGAATAACAATTTTATTTAGGCACAATTAAAATTAATTATTAATTCTATTATATAAAAGACTGGGTCCCAATTTAAAAATGCTATTTAAAAGAGTCGTGAACGTCGTGGTGCGCCCCTCAAAAGCCGGTGCGCGCGCTGCTCCTGGTCTGCTCGGGTGCGCCGCTCCCGTCCGCCAGTGCGCACGGGTCTCAGGGCACGAAACGATCCACAGCAGCGGGGCTGCCTGTGTAGAGAGGGAGGGCCGTCAACACACTAGGCCAGTGACAGGGGGGAGGCTTGGGCTGGTGGTGGTAGGGGCTACAGGCCCGGCTCACACAAAAAGAACACAGCACTCCAAAGAACTAAAATAGCCACAGCCTTATTCCCACAACCACCGCCAACGAACAGGAAAGCCACTTAGCTGCGAGGAGGGGGGTCGCCGTACTCTCCCCCTCCAGTTCCCCACGACGCCTCCTGTCACCGGTGTCTCCTCCTCTGGTCCACTCCGCCAGGCTCCGTGCGCGATGTCTCGTGCGCGATGTCTCGTGCGCGCTGGTTGCTCTGTCCCGATCGCTGCTCGCTCTGCCCCGTCTGCTCACTCCTGCTCCGGACACCTCTCCCATATCACACTCACACCTGTGCTTTCTACCTAATTACACACACGCCCATCACACACGCACACACGCACGCCCATCACACACACGCCCATCACGCTCCCTTTGTCCACCTTGTGACATCGGCTGTGTTCTATCCATGCACCCTATTCATCTAATCCATCTTTATTGTGCCCAAACCTCTGCTATATATAATTCCTTTTAGTTCAAGCACATTTATTCATAAAGTCAATTAGTCCATTTAATTATAATTTTGTTGCTAGGACATTCGTTTGCACCTCGAGCAAAAGCAAATTCTTACTTTGTGACTTCCTGTTACTTACAATGGCAAGGAAAATAATTCTGATTCTGTTTCACTGCCAACGAATCAAACAAATTATGAAAACTTTGTTCATTAGTGAATTAGGCTTCTATCTATGAGCGGAAGAGTTTTTGTCAGCCGGAAATGTAAAAAATAACTAGAAAATTAGGATTCAAATGGCGTGTTTGAAAATGTCCTATCATTCCACCTCTGATTGTCCTCCAGCTACAAAATGAGCTGCTAATGAGGCGAGCTTCAATCACAAACAGCTATCAGCAGCTCATCCCCAGACACCGCCTCCCCAGTGGTTCATTTGATTATACGCTTCCTCTGTGGGATCGCCTCCTAAAAAGAGACTTCTTCTAAATGCTCTTCAACAATCAGAAAGTCATCAACTGTATTATTCATGTTGGGGTGTGTCATGTCCCTCACTTTAGGCCAGATGGAGTCTCCTAATGCATTCTTTTATGTTACCAACACACTAGACCCAATTTGTACTTTTAACTTATATTAACTTTTTATACATGTTTGCATTATTCTTGTTTTTTGCACAACCTGAGTGATATTATTTATGCCAAATGTGACTGTACATTTTGCCATAGTGCGATCATTAAAGGAATAGTTCACCGTTTTTACATACTGACATATGTTCTTACCTTACCTTAGACTAGTTAATATGTACCTGTCTGGTCTTAGTCCGTGCGCTCTGTCATGCAAACGAAGCAAAAACGCAGCCTCCTCTGTATACTGTATAGTACCCAAAAGGTAGCTCCCGCTAGAAGCTACCAAACTCTTCCAAGTGTTCCCTATTAAATGTATATAGTTACGTGACGTGTTACACTGCAAAGTATAGTAACACAGAAATGTAACTGTCGATTTTCTCAGCGGATAAAACGGGTACTATATTGTGAGGCGTAGTAATCTGAGTAGCGCTACGTCCGCGCACTAACTTCTCTTCGGAGACTTCTCTCTCGCTCACTTCCGTCAATAGAAGCAGCGTGACTTGTAGTACGGAGAGAAGTTAGTGCGCGGACGTAGCGCTCCTCAGATTACTACGCCTCACAATATAGTACCCGTTTTATCCGCTGAGAAAATCGACAGTTACATTTCTGTGTTACTATACTTTGCAGTGTAACACGTCACGTAACTATATACATTTAATAGGGAACACTTGGAAGAGTTTGGTAGCTTCTAGCGGGAGCTACCTTTTGGGTACTATACAGTATACAGAGGAGGCTGCATTTGTGCTCCCGTTTTTGCTCCGTTTGCATGACAGAGCGCACGGACTAAGACCAGACAGGTACATATTAACTAGTCTAAGGTAAGGTAAGAACATATGTCAGTATGTAAAAACGGTGAACTATTCCTTTAAAGTCTATTTTATCTTATCTTATACACATTTCCCAAAGTTTGAACTGCAAAACTATGGTTGCTGACGGTTTCGACAACAGAACGAAGTATTAGTATAGTATAGTAGTAGTACACGGAAGGAAATGGAAGTTTGGCTTGTTTTAATGTTGGGGAATCTAACTTTAAAACTACAAATATGGAACTATAAAGTAAAACCCATCAAACTAATTCTTTGCTCTCAAAACATTTCCACATGCATGTATTTTTGGCCTCTGTCATAGATCAGCTTTTTCAGTGTCAAATCGCAACTCACAGGGCTCTGTATCACAAAATGCAAATATATAATGTGTTTTTAGTAAGTACAAAGATAACAGCATGTTGTGGCCTGATTTGTTCACAACATTTTACTTTCACAAGAGTCTTTCTGTTGGGACAAACAACATGAATTATGCAGGAAAATTACAAAACTGCAGCTTTAAAGAGGAAAACAAATCAAGGCAAACATTACAGTATATGGTCCAAACACAAGAGGTTTGAGGGTGAACTTCAGACAAACGTGAAACGATCAGAGATTTGACAAAGTGGAGGAAAAAAACATTCAGTCACTCAATGATTAAATTAGCACAATCCCACTTTTACACAACAGCTTTTTTTTGTTTGTTGGTCTGGTGTTTTGTTTAGATCCCCATTTGCAACTGAAAAAATGGACTAAAAACCCTCCATCCATCCATTTTCTTTCCCTTTGTCCATTCCTGACCAACTGAGCCACTGTCAACATGAAAAATGGACAAAAATGAATGCACAGACAAAAAACTAGTACTAGTAACTAGTAAAAAATTGTCTAACAAAAATACACAACATTATAGCAGCAGAAAAACCAATACAAATTTCACTTTCAACATTTCCACATGACATTTCAAACATTTAACAATCCAAACATTAAAATACAACTCCAAAATCCCATTAACCCCATTAAATCAACTCCATACTTCAGTGAATAGGAAAACTCTAAATCTTTTATTAAAATTGGGTGTATTCGTCCCAACTTCATGAGAAACAGAAGCATTGTCAGACTGTCATTCCTATAGTATCCTTCTGTGTGACTTTCTCCCGGCAACAGTGGAGTAATATTATTGTATATCCCATCTGGGCATGACCCTTTTGCTCGTCCGTCTCTCAGCACCTGCTAAATCGCACACTCTCGCTGCGACGTCGATACTCTTCATTGGATTATTCCCTCTTGACCGCGCTGCCTAAGTCTGCTGGTAAATAAAACATTCAATGGCTGGACTGCACTTACAGAAATAGAATCCCTGTGCTATTTTTTACTTGATAGACTTATTCTTGGTACTCCTCTGTACAAAGAACTTGTATTCATGTTGGTTTTCCTCATGAGATTGACAGTATGTTTTTATTAAAGCTGGGGGATCTAATTTTCAAACCTCCAAAACATTTTCATAATAGTACATATTTATTTGAATAGCACTTTTCAAAAACAGTGTCTACAAAGCGATGCACATCCATCCATTTTCTTCCCCTTAGTCCATTTCTGGGTCGGGGGGGTGGCAGTCAGAGCTGCACCCAGTCACAGAGCACCAGCCCCTCACTGATCCTCCTGCAGGTGGTGAGTCCACAGGAGCTGAGATCTTTCAGTTGGGGCTTCAGGCAAAGTAGGGTTAAGTGTATTGCCCAAGGACACAACGACAGCAGTCATCAGTGGGAGTCGTGAAGTAGGCCTTACGGTGGGCTCGAACCCACGACCTTCAGGCCCAAAGGCCAAAGCTCTACCAACTGAGCTACTGTCGCCCTTGCACAGTCAGCATAAAAAAAACAATAAAAACAGTCATAATAATACAAAGTCAAAATAATTAGCCGTAGATACAGGAAGAACAAAACAGAGACAAAGTGGAGCAGTAAAGTACAATGTGAAGTTTAAAACCGACTAAAATAAATTCTACAACGCACAGGGAGCCAGTGGAGGGACGCTAAAACAGGGGTGATGTGTTCCCTTCTGTTAAAACCTCGCTCTCAGTTTGGTTCTATCAATCGTTTTCACTTACTTTTTGGCCTCTGTCACATCTTTCACACATCTTTCAGACAGATATGTGAATTAGAGAGGGCTGCCCTGACACAACCAATCAGCTTTCAGCCCAAAGTGTCTCATAGTGACTCACTGACAGCATGTTGTGGTCGGATTTGTTC